CCAGCCCTGTCAGCCTGGGGCACTGCCCTTCTTGGCCAACGCAGGTTGCTGGCCCCGGGTCTGGGCTTCATGGCCCCTCCCTGCTCAATTGCCCAGCGTGTGGTCAAGTGAGGGGACACAGCCTTTGGCGCCCCAGGGCCACGTCGTGTGACTCAGGCTCTGGGGACAGGCCATGTTGTGGCTGGGTGACTTCAGCATCCTCCTCTGTGATGGGGATGTGGCGTTGGGTACGTCCCTGTGAGGGCTGGTGTGGGGTGGCGTGTGCCAAGGTGGCCAAGGCCATGTCACAGCGGTGGCCCCAGAGAACCTGAGTCCAGGCCTCTGCTGGCTCCCCAGGACATGACCGTGGTGACGGCAGGCAGGAGTGGGCGAGGGTGCCCTCCGCATATCAGGGGGCCCCTGAGGATGCAGTGGGGACAACCCCCCTCAGGGAACTGAGGCAAACCTAGGGCTATGGAGCAAGTTTACCCTTGGCCTGTCCATGCCCACCTGCTCCTGGCCTCAAAGCTGGCAACAGCTGGAGCGGGTGGTCTGGTCATAGCCCGGAGGTGCCCTCACTCTGCCTGAGGCATCTGAGCCTGCCAGCAGCCGTGTATAGGGTGATGCCCAGACACTAGCCACACAGGCCTCTGCCCACCGGGCCCAGGCACAGATGCTGTGCCCCAAGTGCAAATGGTCATTTCGCTAAGGCTGCGCCTCCAGTCCCCTTGCAAGGCCACGCCCGCCAGCCAACTGTGCTCCCCAGAGTCTCTGCTCCAGCCGATGGGGGGCAGACCCCACAGCAGCCTTCTGCTCTGGGATGATACTGCTCGGGGTGCAGCAGTAGGGGGTAGTCGGTCAGTAGTAGGGCTCCCTCTGGGTCCCAGGCAGGTGTTTCCAGCTGAAGACAGTCCCTCCTTCCCTACCTCCACGCCACCCACCTGTGCTGGCCACTGGGGTGGACACACCTTGCCCTCAGCCGCCTGGGAGGGTCGCTTCAAGGCAAGTGGTCTCTTGGTCTCTGTGACTAGCATGTGAAGAGGGGGCTTGCTGTGACTCAGAGGTGCCCTCAGCCAGCGTCCATGGGTCTGTCCAGGCTTTACCCAGATAGCAGGGCTTTCCGTGTTTTAGAGTTGTGTACGGAGTCTGAGAATTTGTGTGGGTGTACCCCATGTCGTCACAGCCCAGCAAAGAAGACCCTGCCCCCCCAGATCCTGGGAGTGGTCCCATGTGTCTTAGGTCAAGCAGACCCATTTCCATTTGGCCTTTGGACCTATGTCAGTGTCCAAGCGGCCAGCTTAGCTGGCCCGTGACTGTGGTAGCTGTTCTTGGTGCCACAGCCCCTCTCAGGGAGCCCACCACGTACCTACACAGAGGAAAGGGACCCTCAGCCAAGACTGGCCTGCGCAGCCAACACCTC